CGCGGTGCTCCTACTCTGTCAATCCAGTCCCTACAGTTATAAAAAGGATGAGGGGCAACATGTTCTTCCTGGCTAGTTCCTGCTGAGGTGGTGGAGGCAGGGCATGGAGAGTTCTTTAGTTTTGGAGAATAAGCCTGGTTTTGATTGTTAAGCCACTTTTCATGTTTCTTTCCTCATTCTTTAACTCTTACGCTCCTGAGTATGAAATGAATGAGCTTCTTCCCTACGTATCTAGGGGACCATCACTGTGTCATCCCTGGCAGGAATGAGAAAATGGTCACTGCAATAATTTTCTGGAGGGCTAATTTTTCCTGCGGGACACTGCTGGAGAAAGGCCACAGCCCATTGACTAGAAAAAGGCCTGAAATGGAGTTTACGCTCTCAGAGCTGATGCAGGACCCATCTATAAACTACATGCATAACGACTCGTTAACCTCACCTCAGCCCTGGGAGGCAGACACTGTTAATATTCTCATTTTACAGATGAGGAAACAGTTGCACTGTTAAAGCTCAATCAGCTTTATTTGTTTCCCATCACTGCTGTCACAAATTGTTGCAAACTCTGTGGGTTAACACAACACAAAGTTAATATCTTATGGTGTGGGAGGTCAGACATCCCAAGTCAGTCGCCTTGGGCTAAAATCAAGGTGTCAGTAGAATTGGTTCCTTCTGAAATTCTGAGGGGAGAGTTTGTTTTCTTGCCTTTTTTTTTTTTTTTTTTTGCCCTGGAATCTACTGTCCTGGTTCTCTGCTCAGTCTCCTTTTCATTTTTTCTCTCCTTTTCATTTTTTCTCTCCTTTTCATTTTTTAGGCGGAATCTCACTCTGTCACCCAGGCTGGGGTGCAGTGGTGCAATCTTGGCTCACTGCAACCTCCGCCTCCTGGGTTCAAGCGATCCTCGTGTCTCAGCCTTCCTGAGTAGCTAAGATTACAGATGCATGCCACCACGACCAGTTAATTTTTGTATTTTTAGGAGAAATGGGTTTCACCATGTTAGCCAGGTAATGAACTCCTGACCTCAGGTGATCCACCTGCCTCAGCCTCCAAAGTGCTGAGAATACAGGCATTAGCCGTCGCGCCTGGACTTCCTGGCCTTTTTCAGCTCCTAGAGGTCACCCTAATCGTTTAGCTAATAATCCCTTCCTCTATACACTCCAACTTCTTGTATTTGTTTCCAAAAAGCAGTTCTGTAATATCTCAATCCAGAGATATTAAAAATGTTTATAGGCACAGTAATAGTAAATCAAGTAAATTATCATGTCCTCTTAAAGGACAAACTTCCAGAGATTTGAATATAAATTTCTATATGTGCTATTGATTGCTGTATAACAAATGGCCCCCACGAATTAGTAGCTTAAAACAGCATTTATGATGTCAATTTTCTTTGCCTTTCCATTATCCTTCTGTACAGACCTATGTAAACAATTTTTGTATATACATATAGGATAGCTTTTTTGCATGTATACAGCCGTATATAAAAACAGCTCATATTAGTTAAGCTTGTATGAACTGTGTTGGAAACAGATGCTCCGTGCTGCCAGAAAAATCGGCACTGAGACAAAGGATCTCTTAACAAGGCAATTTTACTTTCTGCAGACAGGGTGCTCCTGTTAGCCATCTTGCCACGAGAGTACAATGAACAAAGGAAAAGCAGACATACTTATCTTTTACGCATTTGGGGGTCATCCTTACTGCTGTGTCTGATCTCTGTCGGTTGGAGCCAGACTTCACAATCTAAAACTGAACCTGACTGGCTGATAACTTAAAACTTTCTTGAATAAGTAAAGGCAATGGAGAACAAAAGGAAAAGAGGAAGTCTAAATAAGGAAGAGACAGGAAGTTGCTTGCAAAAAAGACTTAAGAAAAGTAATAGCATCAATATCTTGGTTAAAGTACAAGGACATAGAATGTACTGGGTGTCTGAGCATGTCTGACAGCTACATAGGGTAGGGCTTAAATAGTTATTAGCAAAAAGCAAGAAGGCCGTGAAGAAAGTCTTTAAACAAATGTTTATTTCTAACACTTATGATTTATTCTTTAAGAAGAAAGGAAACTTTGGAGAGGAACTTTTCTACTTCTTACAAACTGTTTGGATTTTTTTCACTTGTACATTTGGTACTTTTTTTGTGGGGGTCAATTAAAGTTGTATGTGCTTAGTATGTCAGTTAAAAAACAAAAACAAAAACAAAAAACAACGGAATTGTCAGGGATCCAGGAAGGCAGAGCTGGCTGCTTCTGGCTTTGGGTCTCTGACAAGGTGACAATCAAGGTGTTGGCAAGGGCTGTAGTCATCTCAAGGCTTAAATGAATCCCTTGTGTACATGAATGTGCAGGGTGTGACTCAGTTTCCAAGTTCACTCATGTGACTCTTGGCAGAAAACATAAGTTCCTTGCTCCATGTGCCTCTCTATAGAACAGCTCACTGTGTGACCCCTGGCTTCTTTCAGAGTGAGTGAGCAAAGAGCCAGAGAGGCGGAGCACCGAAGACAGAAGCCACAGACTTTTTTTTTTTTTTTTCCAGACAAAGTTTTGCTCTTACAGCTCAGGCTTGAGTGTAGTGGCGTGGTCTTGGCTGAGTGCAACCTCTACCTCCCAAGTTCAAGCAATTCGCAATTCTCCTGCCTCAGCCTCCTGAGTACATGCTGCAGACTTTTTACGACCTAATCTTAGATGTGCTATTCCATGTCTTCTCCCTGTTCTTTACATAAAGAGAGTGTCAGTCAGTCCAGCCCACATGCAGGAAGAAGGAATTTCAAGGGCATGAATACCAGGGGGTAGGGTCACTGGAAGCCACATTGGAGACTGTCTTTTATACCCTTTGAACATTAAGTCAGGGATGTCCTTAATCAACATGCAGCATTACTAAGATTCCAGACTAAATGACTCAAATTCATATTGGATTATTTTTCTGAGCTTATTGTTTAGTTAACCTAAAATTATTAAGAATAAAATATATTGGGGGGAGATAAGAAGGAAGGAAATTATCTTTAATTCCTCCATACTAACATACATTTTAAATTTTGTCTTTAGCTCTTATTCAAGTACATATATATTTTTACATGATTATAATTATCTTTAATAGTCTTTGGTGCCCGCTGTTTAACACTTGGCATCATATTACAGAGCATCAACCACATTTCTAGACAGTCTTCATAATCACTTTATTTTATTGACATGGAGTCTCACTGTCACCCAGGCTGGAGTGCAGTGGTGTGATCTCAGCTCACTGCAACCTCCGTCTTCTGGGTTCAAATGATTCTCCTGCCTCATCCACCCAAGTAGCTGGGATTACATGCATTCACTACCACCATGCCTGGCTAATTTTAGTATCTTTTTAGGAGAGATGGCATTTCGCCATGTTGGCCAGGCTGATCTCAAACTCCTGACCTCATGTAATCCGCCCACCTTGACCTCCCAAAGTGCAAGGATTACAGGCTTGAGCCACCATGCCTGGCAGCACCATCATTTTAACATACTAGAGATCTTCATTATCGCAAAATTACTTGTTCTCTCAAAGAAAGGCCTTACAACCTATCAAAAGGTAACCAATATTTTGTTATAAATAGAAGAAAAGCCATAGCTATAAATTATGAGAATAAGTTCATTTTATATGGATCCAAAGGTAGTTCATAATAGCAACTTAGCTGAATCATAGAATACAAAATGAATAAAATGTAAATTTTTTGGAAGAGATGGTTAATTTTTTCTACAAAATTGTATGACAGCATTACAGACCTTACCATTCACAGTTGACTTGAACATTAACATCATAAAGAGGGTCCTGTTTGCAAAGGCATAGTCAAGAACTTCATGGGCCGGGCGCGGTGGCTCATGCCTATAATCCCAGCACTTTGGGAGGCCGTGGCAGGCAGATTACAAGGTCAAGAGATCGAGACCATGCTGGCTAACCTGGTGAAGCATATTCTCTGCTAAAAATACAAAAAATCCATCAGGCATGGTGACACGAACTTGTAGTCCCAGCTAATTGGGAGGCTGAGGCAGGAGAATCACTTGAACCCGAGAGGCAGAGGTTGCAGTGAGCTGAGTTCGTGCCACTACACTTCAGCCTGGGCAACAGAGCAAGACTCCATCCCCCATGAAAAAAAAAAAAAAAAAAAGAACATCATGAATTTTTAACAGTGGCTCTTTTCCAACCCGTCAATTCAAATATATTTTTTACATGTCCATCATTGTCCTTTATTTAACTCAATTGCTAACTAGTTTATTTCTGTGAGTTTCTTTGCCTGTAATTGAAACAGTTCTGACATCACCCAAACTGATTTTATGAAAGCCTACACTTTTGGAGAGATTTTCAATTCTGCTTTGCAATGTATTTACATTGACTGTACTTGCATTGTATTGCTAGATGTTATCAGTTAGGTCAATCAAAAAGATATTGATAATGGTCATGGATAAATCAGAAGTTAATGTCAATAACAAAGACATGTTTTATGGGTATTTTATCAGTGATAAATTCATTACTGAGCAATTTCAGATCATGTTTTAATTCTCCTGATTGTAATATGGTGACTCTGGAGACTCAAATATTGGTGTAAAGACAACCTCTTATTTGTCATTCAATCTTGTCTACAGTTTGAAGTCTTTTTACATGTATAATGTTCGTCCTAATGGTAACAATGACAGTCGTTACTTGCTATTTAGTTTTCTATTCTGTACCAAGCATTGGATAATATTGATGAAAATATTAACTACTGTAATATAAGGGCTTAGGTATTAAAATGAATATGATGAATCAGTAAATAGTGCAGGAAAAGGTATTTGGTAAAATAGACATAATGTAGTCAGCCAACTTAGCCTGAAAATGCATTAAACATTTTTATTTTTCCTTTATCTTGGGTTTCAAGATACAACCTTCAGGCAAACTGCAGAAGGCTTTCCTTATCCTTAAAAGAGACTCCACATCCCTCACATTATGACTGTATATACTGTTTTCACATTTATCTAACTGTATGCTAGTATCTAATCATGTGTCTTCTTAGAAGTTCTAGGAGCTAATCTTGAAACAGACAGACCAAGCCTGGAGACCCAGTTTCAAAGGTCCAGAGATGGCTTCAAGGTGGCGAATTAACAACCATTGCTGAGATGATGTCATTCATTGTTGAGATGATGTCAGCCTAATGTCCAGGTGGACTGGGACCCAAGATGGCCACCAAAACAAGACATGTGGATTGTACTCAGCCCAATTTTTGCATGTCTTCCATATCAAGGTATCCCTTTTTAAAAACTCTGCCTTCTCTCTCAACCACAGCTGAAGGAGTTACTTTGGATAGGAATCCTGCCATTTCCCCTTCAATAGTTTTGGTTAATAAAGTCACTTTCTTTTTACCAGAGCTTGCTCTTGTTAATTGAATTCTGCAAATGGCAAGCATCTGGATCTGCATTCTGTTACAATAATATGAAGAAGACTTCTGTTAGATAAAAATTATGAGGCCATTGTTTTTAACTAAGCTCCTGCACTAGGCCCCAACAGAATTGATTAAAAATTAGAATGGACTCATGCTAAAGTTTCGTGTCACCAAACTTAAACTAAGCTTTTGTCTGACCTTCCTAAAAATCAGGAGAAAGAAAAATAGACAAGTTCCTAAAGAGGCCAGTTTAAGTCTTCAATTTTTCTATTGTTCTGTCTCCTTCTATGTGCCTTATAAGAAAAAGTAACTTTGAAAAGTAACAAATACACATTGTATACACCCTGTTCTTGGTTTCTGTTTTCTTCAGCTTTAGCCTGTTGTATAAAGCCAGCCTCCTCCACTCAGCTCACTGGGATACATTTTCTATTTTATGGAATGAAGCATTGCCCTATCCTAGAATCATCAGGTCAATTGAGATCTTTAAACTAAATTTGTTATATTTTTGGTTTTTGACACTTCAAATTGTTTAAATCTTGAGAAAAGATTAAAATGAGCCAAGAATACAGTTCAAAATCAATAGGAGCAGAGGGCTTAAGTGAGATAGTGTGTTGGATAGGGACCTGTCCTCATGTTCCTATTATATTAATATAACTTCCATCTAGGCCCGGAGCAGTGGCTCACTCCTGTAATTCCAGCTCTATGGGAGGCTGACGTGGCCAGATCATTTGAGGTCAGGAGTTTGAGACCAGGCTGGCCAACCTGGTGAAACCCCATCTCTAGTAAAAATATAAAAATTATCCAGGTGTGGTGGTGTATCCCTGTAATCTCAGCTACTCAGGAGGCTGAAGCATGAGAATCCCTTGAACCCGGGAGGTTGAGGTTGCGGTGGGCTGAGATCGCACCACTGCACTTCAGCCTGGGTGACACAGTGAGACTTTATTTCAAGAAAGGAAAGAAAGAAAAGGAAAGAGAGAGAAGGGGAGGGAGGGAGAGAGAGAGAGAGAGAAACAGAGAGAGAGAGAGAGAGAGAGAAATTAATTATTTAGGCAGATAGTTGAAGATATAGGAAACTTTGGTAAGGTTTTCCTTTTCATGAAAAGCAGCCCCCAAATCATTTTCTTTTGAGCTGGAAAAAACAGACAAGCAAGCTAGAAGCTTGCACACGTGAATGCTGGCAACTGTGCCAGTAGCAAAAGGCTATCTGGGACTACGCATCTTCAACATGGCAGCTCCATCTTTTTTCCTTTCCAGCCACGTGTGCAGTAGAGAGCAGACGACATGACCCTGGCCAAGTGGAAAGCCGATTTGCACAATAAGATTAGGGTGGGGTGGCCGGCCTTCCCCATGCAATATGGAAACGTCACACCTGGTGCAATCTGTCTGTGGGCCCTATCTAAATCAGACACTGCCTCCTCCAGCCTATCGATAAAATCCATGCCTGGCTAACATTTTGTAGAGATAGGGTCTTTCCATGTTGCCCAGGCCAGTCTCACACTCCTAGCCTCAAGCAGTCCTCCCATGTCAGCCTCCCCAAAGTGCTGAAACTGCAGACATGAGCCACCATGCACGGCACATTGCCTTTATTTTTATGAACAAATGGAGACATGGAGGGATTAAGTAACTTGCCCAGCGTGACCCAGTAAATGTCAGAGCTGGTATTTGAACCTCTGTTCCTAACCACTATGCAATGTAGCCTCTTCTTACTCCGGCATTCACACCTTTATGAGTTCATCTCCCCCATCCCTCTGACATGTCTTTTATGGCTACATAGTATTCCCCCTGCATAGTATGTTCCCTGTCCAGTCTATCATTGATGGGCATTTGCGTTGGTTCCAAGTCTTTGCTATTGTAAACAGTGCTGCATTGAACATTCATGTGCATGTGTCCTTATAATAGAATGATTTATAATCCTTTGGATATATACCCAGTAATGGGATTGGTGGGTCAAATGGAATTTCTATTTCTAGATCCTTGAGGAATTGCCACACTGTCCTCCACAATGGCTGAACTGATTTACACTCTCACCAACAGTGTAAAAGTGTTCCCACTTCTCCACATCCTCTTCAGCATCCGTTGTCTCCAGATTTTTAATGATCGCCATTCTAACTGGTATGAGATTATACCTCAATATAGTTTTGATTTGCATTTCTCTAATGACCAGTGATGATAAGCATTTTTTCATAAGTCTGTGGGCCTCATATATGTTTTCTTTTGTAAAGTGTCTGTTCATATCCTTTGCCCACTTTTGAATGGGACTGTTTGCTTTTTTCTTGTAAACCTATTTTAGTTCTTTGTAGACTCTGGATATTAGCCCTTTGTCAGATGGGTAGATTGAAAAAATTTTTTCCCATTCTGTTGGTTGTGGATTCACCCTAATGACTGTTTCTTTTGCTGTGCAGAAGCTCTGGAGTTTATTTAGGTCCCATTTGTCTATTTTGGCCTCTGTTGCTAATGCCTTTGGTGTTTCAGTCACAAAGTCCTTGAACATGCCTATGTCCTGGATGGTTTTGCCTAGGTTTTCTTCTAGGGTTTTTATGGTGTTAGGTCTTATGTTTAAGTCTTTAATCCATCTGGAGTTAATTTTAGTGTGAGGTGTTAGGAAGGGGTCCAGTTTCTGCTTTCTGCACATGGCCAGCCAATTTTCCCAACACCATTTATTATACAGGGAATCCTTTCCCCATTGCTTGTTTTTGTCAGGTTTGTCAAAGATCAGATGGTTATAGATGTGTGGTGTTGCCTCTGAGGCCGCTGTTCTGTTCCATTGGTCTATATGTCTGTTTTGGTACCGGTACCATGCTGTTTTGATTACCGTAGGCTTGAGGTGTAGCTTGAAGTCCAGTAGCGTGATGCCTCCAGCTTTGTTTTTTTGCTTAGAATTGACATGGCTATGCGGACTCTCTTTTGGTTCCATATGAAGTTTAAGGTGGTTTTTTCCAGTTCTGTGAAGGAGGTCATTGTTAGCTTGATGAGGATAGCATTGAATCTATAAAATTATTTTGGGCAGTATGGCCATTTTCACGACATTGATTCTTCCTAACCGTGAGCATGGAATGTTTCCCCATCTGTTTGTGTCCTCTCTTATTTTCTTGAGCAGTGGTTTGTAGTTCTCCTTGAAGAGGTCCTTTACATGTCTGTTAGTTGTATTCCTAGTCATTTTATTTTCTTTGTAGCACTTGTGAATGGCAGCTTGTTCTTGATTTGGCTCTCTTTAAGTCTATTATTGGTATATAGGAATGCCTGTGATTTTTGCACATTGATTTTTTATCCTGAGACTCTGCTGATGTTGCGTATCAGTTTCAGGAGATTTTGGGCTGAGATGATGGGGTCTTCTAAATATACTATCATGTCGTATATTAGAGACAATAGAGCAAATAGGGACAATTTGACTTCCTCCTTTCCTAACTGAATACCCTTTATTTCCTTTTCTTGCCTGATTGCTCTGCCTAGAACTTCCAATATTCTATTTAATAGGAGTGGTGAGAGAGGGCATAATTATCTAGTGCAAAATTTCAAAGGGAATGCTTCCAGTTCTTGCCCATTCAGTATGATATGGGCTGTGGGTTTGTCATAAATAGCTTTTATTACTTTGAGATACGTTCCATTAGTACCTAGTTTATTGAGAGTTTTTAGCATAAAGCGCTGTTGAATTTTGTCAAAGGCCTTCTGTGCATCAATTGAGTTAATCATGTGGTTTTTGTCTTTGGCTCTGTTTATGTGGCAAATTACATTTATAGACTTGCATATGTTGAACCAGCCTTGCATCCCTGGGATGAAGCCTACTTGATCGTGATGGATAACTTTTTGATGTGCTGTTGCAGTTGGTTTGCCAGTATTTTATTGAAGATTTTTGCATCTATTTTCATCATGGATAATGGCCTGAGGTTTTCTTTTCTTGTTGAGTCTCTGCCGGGTTTTGGTATCAGTATGATATTGGTCTCAAAATGATTTGAGAAGGGTTCCCTCTTTTTGGATTGTTTAGAATAGTTTCAGAATGAGTGGTACTAGCTCCTCTTTGTATGTCTCATAGAATTCAGCTGTGAACCCATCGGGACCTGGGCTTTTTTTTTGTGGGTAGGCTATTAATTGCTGCCTCAACTTCAGCCCTTGTTATTGGTCTATTCAAGGTTTCAACTTCTTCCTGGTTTAGGCATGGGGGGATGCAAGTGTCCAGGAATTTATCCATTTCTTCAAGGTTTACTGGTTTATGTGCATAGAGTTGTTTGTAGTAATCTCCGATGGTAGTTTGTATTTCTGTGGAATCTGTGGTGATATTACCTTTATTTTTTATTGCATCTATTTGATTCTTCTCTCTTTTCTTTTTTATTAATCTGGCTAGTGGTCTCTTTTGTTGATCTTTTCAAAACACCAGGTCCTGGATTTATTGAATTTTTGAAGAGTTTTTTGTGTCTCTATCTCCTTCAGTTCTGCTCTAATCTTAGTTATTTCTTGTCTTCTGCTAGGTTTTGAGTTTTTTTTATCTTGCTCCTCTGGCTCCTTCAATTTTGATGATAGGGTGTCGATTTTAGATCTTTCCTTGCTTCTCATGTGGGCATTTATTGCTATATATTTTCCTGTGGACACTGCTTTAAATGTGTCCCAGAGATTCTGGTATATTTTTTCTTCATTCTCATTGGTTTCAAAATGAGAACTTTAAAGCTTCATGTTTGCCTTCATTTCATTGTTTATCCAGTCAACATTCAAAAGCCAGTTGTTCAGTTTCCATGAAGCTGTGCGGTACTTAGTTAGTTTCTGAATTCTGAGTTCTAACTTGATTGCACTGTGGTCTGAGAGACTGTTTATTATGATTTCCATTCTTTTTCATTTGCTGAGGAGTAATTTACTTCCAATTATGTGGTCAATTTTAGAGTAGGTGTGATGTGGTGCTGAGAAGAATGTATATTCTGTGGATTTGGGGTGGAGAGTTCTGTAAATGTCTATTAGGTTTGCTTGGTCCAGGTCTGAGTTCAAGTCCTG